CATTCAAAAGATAATACTTGGTTGCTTTATAACACAGAGTGTTTCCAATTCTGGAAGAATGCCTCAATTCACAGTCAATGAAAGGCACAATTCCAGTCAATACAAGCAACACAATCAAGAGGAGGAACAAACCAATATATCTGCTGCCAAGACTAAGTATCATGTCAAACAACATAAATGCAATTCAGGAAGAAACACGAAAACTTAGTGAAGGCGTAAGAAAAATAGAAACTCTAATGAAATACAAATATTAACAACTCAAATATAATCAAAACGACTAACAAAATGTACAACTAAAAGAATCAGTAGGAACAAACTGCAAGTGTATACAGGAGGGATTTTCACACACAAAAAACCTTCAAAATGGATCTAACATAAAGCATTCCAAATGAAGTGGCTTTCACAGACTTTAACAGAAATATGTTTATAGTAGCTCAAACTGTACAAAATAAATGAACGTTTTGTCACTCTCTTCAGTTTCCACAGTTATATTATCCAGCTTATTCATCCGAAATCCGGTCAGATGTACAGCGATACCTTTCGCTGAGAAAAGAATAACATGTGAATTTTAATAGCTCTACGTATTGAATGGAATTGTAAGATTAATGATCAGAAATAAATATGGATTAGATAAATTGAAGGACAGTAATGTAAAAACAAGTCAGAATACTATGAATGACGTACAAATTACTGAATGAGATGGAGTAAATGCTGGATAAATGTCCTAATACGTTTCATCTTTTTCAACATATCTGAATGAGTATAAGCTATGAAAATACAAAGAGCATGTGGTTAAGTTCTTTTAGACCATAACCCTAGCTTCGATTTTTATCAGAGTGTCACAGGTTCAGTGCATTCCTCAAGTCCTTCACTAAATGTAGTTTTATGGCTTTCTGATAACGACACCACAGATTCACCTCTTCCATTTCCGGTGTACAGACGTTATTAAAGATTGAGTTTCATCAAAGATGAATTTCAAGATCCGCATTTTCTGACATCCACCTAACCAGATATCTCGAGTAAAATAACTAGGGTGTGAGTAGATACTTGGAGATGTATTACGCTTATGGGTACCCATTGACTCATCCAGACATGGACACATGGTTGACTTATTTAAACAGACGATATACATACTCATTTACATACTCAATCACTCACACACAGCAATAGAATCACACTTGCACTCCTCAGTCAATAATGAAATAATTTTCATGCATATTTTGAAAGACTAAATATCCACATGTTGAGTAGTGAGAACTTTTCCACCTCTGTTAGTTTATAAAACCAATTTCAACATGAAAAAAACAGACTTATTAAAGACGTTTATTTTCTTGAACAATTTGATCTACTTCTACTTCACTAAACTGTTCTTATGAACCTTAATGAATATTCAATGAAAACATACATTTGACCGACCGTAAAACGTATATATATTCAGAACAATGGGCTACAGTGAGTTAAGCTGTCAAAGTCTCCTGGTTGGTGTCGTGACAGAACACGTGATTGACAGTATTCTATAGGTACATAAGTGCTGGAGAATGATGACACATGAATATCTCTGTCCTGCCATAGTTCATTTGTCGTTTCAATATCGCAGCAGTTACTCTTCATTGTTCAAAATTGAGTGATATGAGTTTGGATGACACGGGCAGCATTGGTTTTTTCGGAAGTAAGAGTAAATCTCACTGATGTATACCAACTCTCTTCACTAACCCCTGCCGAAAGACTACAAACATCGAAAACTAATCAAAGTATCTCCTCGTAAACATCAACTACGTATACAATTTTGAAATAGCAGATGCTGACATAGGCGGCAGGCTCTATAAATCTTCATCTACGATTGTTTACTTATGTAGAAACTCATTTTGATTCTGCTGCAAAACTAAGAAGAATTTCATTAGCAAATATATTTCAAGACCTATTCTATGTTTTACGAAATTCGATCACTAACATCTCACGATGATATCCGACTTCAATCAATACTTAACACAAACGTACATTTGGTCAACAGTCATATTCATCTATACAGAATATCCGGTATAGATCAATTTATCTTCCACACTGAATGATATAAAACGATACACAGTACGTCATGAGGATTATGTGATCAATCATCTTGATGAAAGTCCCATAGAAAGTATTCGTGAAACGTACTAACCAGTCGAGTCTAAAATCATCGGAATTATTACTGATAGTTCCATAGATTTATGAACTGCGGACGTACAAAATAGACAATTCTATAAGAACGCTTTCACTAGACTCATTTGAAATCAGATGGTAAATGCAATCAGTGTTTATTCATATCTAAAGCAATACTTCCTGTAACCTGAAGGACAACCTACTCGTTTTCACTTGAATCTCTCTTTAGAAAAATAGTACTCATCTGCAAAATGGAAATTTCATTCAACTTTGTTTCGTGGGCGTAAATGACGGTCTGTCATATAAGAGCATCATTAGTAAACGACATTCCTTATGATATTCAAGATTTATATTTAGCACATTACACAAAAGAGAAAATCATATAATTTTGATTATTTAGATAGAACATGGTGATAAACAACATAGAAGTACATACATTGACGTTTCTACAAACAACAACTGAGGTCAACAGACTGACGCCATATAAAAATCACACTCTCCGATAGTGTACACTAATAATATCATCATCACTTTTATTTTTAGAAGGATATTTCTTGAGTGTAAAGGCACATTAGATTAAATGTACTGAAATAGTAGATGTGATGATGATATGTGATATACAGATACATATTCCTCACTGAATCGTACAGGTTCAATAGATTTTCAAGAGTACATATGAAGCACGTGTTGTGTTCCAGTCAAATTATTACTGTTCATCCAGGATAGTATGATCGTGATGGACAATGTTACCTTGTAAACCACCTGAGCTATATGTTTCAGCCGTCGAACAGATTATGGTGTCGAGTAACATAGAGATGCAGGAGATGAGTGTTAAATATTTCAAAAGAGAGAATACAAAAAATGTAAACAAATAAAACAGCGAACAATCAACGTCTGATAATACGGAAGTGAAATCATATATCGCTTTCTATCTGAAAAATACTATTTATCACAGTCATTTGACATAGGTTTGAATCAATTCTTTCCAGCACATCACCATTTGTGCCTTCAGTGCATATACGGGTTGATATAAATTTAGGCGGTTCCAAGCATCTGTTGATCGTTGAAAATTCGCTGATTGAGTTGCTCGCTAGGGAAAAATATTCAAAATACGCTTTTAGATAATCTGGACAGTCTGTTTTCTACAATCTCAGATGTCATAAGTAGGTAAGCAAATATGCAAGCAATTCATTCATACGCTTGAACTTAACGAGTAGTGTTTTTATTCTTGTTCAGCTTGTTTATCTGGTTAATTCTGTTCCCCCATGATAAAATTATGAATAAGTGTAGCTGAATTTCCCTTTATAAAGCTGACCATAGTAAAATTCATAAGCTACAATGAACATTATAAATCTGATGAAATCCTGTTTATGCACACTTGATAGCTTGCACATTTTCGTTTTTTGTCGAAACTGATTATCGTTGAAGCGCTGAGCACAATCTTATGTTCGACATTGAGATATTCATATATTAGTAATAAGTAGGAGGAGTATATTAGTCTCCGTTGAAGATGTAATGAGGAAGAAAGAGATCATTTAAACAAGAATAATCTTCTTCTGAATTAATGAAAAACACTGAAGTACACCTCATGTAATCGACAAGTTGTTGAAAGGACTTTTTGAGAAAACTTCATTCATTAAGTAAACGAATGGTAGTGTTTAACATTCAAAACATGACGATCATTTGTGCTGTCATCACAAAATTACATTGAAAAACTAAGAGTATATTCTATCTAGATAAGGTATTGTAGGATTCTTATACTTTTGCTTGTATACATGGATTCTAATGCATTATTGTCTCGTTCTAACAAAAGATATATAAAGAGAGACATATAAATGAAATAGGTGGTTAGTACCTGATAAGAGGACACCTGTCACGATTTAGCTAGACATAAATGTTTATCTACAGTCCTAATGATAATGACCTCAAAAGGTTCTCCGCACTCCTTGCTAACTGCCTCAAGCCCTCTCCGCAATACATCAAAGTCTCTTTCTCCAACGCTCATGAATGGATAATGGAGAAAAGTACGGAGCATTAGGCTATATGCAAGAATTGACAAGCTGTATTAGTTGACATCGCATAACGACAAAATCATGCAGTAAGCCATACTGTGTACTTGCAACATACTTCATAACAACAGTATGTAAAATACACATGTGGGCATAACGAGACATCACATTAAGCAGTTTATAATCTGACTCATACTCTTCCTGAGAACAATTGCTGATTGACACTAAAACATACGCTGATATGTTTTCCTCTGGTAATTAGATCATGATGAACAACATGGAACGAGCAATGTATCATTGAACACAATTTTGATGTTGATAAATTCACGCAATTACAGTACAACTGTTTGTTCGACTACAGACTGTAATACCTGAGAAAATGACATTTTGTTTAGTGTCGAGATCTTTCTAAAATGAAACAATACACCCCTATTGTACCAAGAAAAGAAAACTGTTTGTATTTATTACCCAGACGTAAATATTCCCGAAATCTATTAACAGTCAGCAGTGCAATATGATGGACAACTAGAATGGATGTGGTTTTGTTCACAACTTGCCATTTCATATTAAACGACTTACGCAATCGTTTGACAGAATGCTTTTATTAAAATAAAATTCATCAATAGGTATCAGGAATTTCAAACAACTGTGAATAAATTTCAGCTCATGTTCTCAACAGACAGAAAAATATTGAATAAAGATGGTCTCATCTACATCTATGATTGGTTGACAATGAACATACGATTTTACCACATATATTTGTCTGAATGGTCAGTTTGAATCATCGAATCAGTAGTAAACAACCTTACACTTCAAAATTCTATATAAACCTGACACGTTTTATTCAAATATGACTTACTACTTTGAACAAGAAGATGAGGTGAGTGTTGACTGAACATACTAATTCAAATTGAAAATCGATACAATGAGATAACGTTGTTTATTTCATCTGAACCATTTTAGACACAACATTTTATCTTCTCAATCGATGTCATTTTTTCTAATTATCATCTGCCTTGCCGAGTTCCCCGAATGCCAGGATATCTGTAAACAACCTGAATGGACGACCTTGGAAAATGTAACTTTTGAAAATAATTATTATCGATATGTAAGTAATCAATTTGATCGTTATACACATACTCAGTCTCAGCATTATATGTATTTGCAGAGAATCAGTATTGATCCGTTTTATTCACTTACGAGTGTAAGTTTGGATAAATACACTCATCCTTTCGTAAGTCCAATACATTTTGTGATGAAGGTACTTGTCTCTATGTTTACGGCTTTTTAGACAGTAAAACCGCAACTGTCGTTTAAATATTACAGTAGTCAGGTCGAATATCTCACTATTGCTCCTGGTAAGTCAATAATTTTCTTTGAGCTCGAATTATAACTTAATTTTCTTCATAACATTTTTGTCCATGAATCCAAGCTGATTCCATTTCTTTATTGAATTAGTTTTATACTCCTAGAGACATGCAATAATTCTTTGGATATCCTTTCTTCTTCAAATTGTGTCGATAATGTGATGCTTTATAGCAATCCAGATGCAGTTCATGCAATTCATTTAAGTCTTCAGTTTATTACATTCAATGATAAATAATCAATCATGTTTCATGTTTTCAATAAATAAATACAGATGGCATAGGTATGCACGGAGACGGATACCTCGGATATATTGAACCTTTTATACCAACCAAAATAAATCCTGTAGTTCGGATTTTGGATACGAGTGAGTTCTTGTATTATTCAGTTATAATTTGTTTCGTTACTTATTCCTACACTTAACTTTGCACACATTATTCTCTATTTTACTTGACTATTACACAAGAGCTTATCAACACACGATGATTGTTTTGTTTGTGTGATTGTCGTGCCAGAACATGTGTGTTTCACAACACCTTTTGATTACCATCATGTGATAATATTAAACAAAACAGAGATTCACCTCAACATACAAACACATTGGAAGAGTAGAAATGACAAAACAAGTGATGTTATTGTACGAGTGCTAATTACCAACTCTACAGTCTATCAAGACTACAAGATAGTAGATATCGACATCGACACGATACGTCTTTGTAGACTAAATTAACCGGACTTATCACATGTGCGAGAATAAGCGATATTGTGAGAGACGTCATTTTGAATTATTGAAATCTATGAACTATCAAGTCATATTTCATTTCTTCCAATACTTTTCTGGCATTTACTGTTTGCTTTTGCATTTGCTGTTTGTTTATCATCGAGTTTTGGACTCGATCTTTGCAATCACATTCGTACTATTACCGAATTTCAATACAGGCACTTCTTGAAACAGCTGAGCAATGAAAGATTAATAATATTCTGTTATCATAAGATGGTTAACTCGAACTAGAACACCTAGAACAACAAGGTTGAAAACATCCGTTTTTGATGAGTTATCAGAACTGATTAATAACAGAATCCCAGAAAATGTTATTATATGGGTATTGTCAGTTAGATATTATTAGTATGTACCACAGTCTAAATCTCCTAGAACAGATGCTACGGAAGTAAAACATTCTTCTTAGTTGGATGGATTGAGACATTTATCATACGGATGAAGGTGATAATATTTCTTGAACTTTCCTCATGAGAGGTACTTGAGTATTTGACTATATCGGTTCAATGAATCTCAGAATGAAGATCATAACTTGCATGAACATGTAGTCCGTGTTAAATCTTTCATTTAATGAAAGTGATATATATTCGTTATGCACATATTTAAACATCCATTTTTATTTTCATCATTTCAGAAAAATTATTTGCTGTCAGATGGTTTATGAATAAAGAAATTGATGGTAGACGTAAGTCAACACATGTGGAATTTAAACACTTACATCTTCATTCCATATGATTATTCATAGGTTGTCAGATTCAATTTGTCTCAGAAACTGAAAATGTAGGAATTTGTCACTTTTCAGAGACATAAGGGTAGAATTATTTGTGAAATCCACTGATCGCTTGATGACGCTGAATAAGATTCGAAGAATAGTTGATGTGATCTGGAAATGACTAAGGTTGATGAGTAAAATAAAGATCACTATGGTGGATAAATCAGGTCACAATCTTATTTCATTTGTGTGAAAACGAATTCACAGATTCTTTGACGTTTACAGGCTTGGATTGAATTTGATGAACAGTTTCAGTTTCAAAATAAATGAATCGTGTTGTATGTTTGTCACAAAGTCAGTTCTGTACACAACACATTCATCTACCCATCCATTAATCTCATAGTCATTCCTAAATATTATCCACCCAAATTTTAAAAATATTCGTAATACCATATATCTTAGGCTATTCGTTTCTCATCCACAACAAATAAACACTATGGTCGTATTCAGTTGATCGATTGAAATATCACGTAATTTGGTCATTGTTTTCACCCAAGTTCTTAATATCGATGGTTTTCTAATTGTAGAGTTTTCACCCTATGTAACTTGCCTAATACATCCGAATGGGAGAATAGTTTTGTATTATAATAGAGTAAGTTGCACAATCGAATGCAAATGTAGTTTTATTTCAAGTACTTCAGATTACTCAACTATTTCATGTTTATGAATACTGTCAAATATATAACTAGTTACATTGAACACGAGAGGAATGTAGCAACATTCTGTAAAGTGCAAACAGAATATTTGACACTATTATTCAACCTTTGATGACACAAATTATTCAAGCACTTGTTAAAAACAGTAAATGATTAGAAGTGAATCACCTCACTTTCATTTAGGAGGTTGTGTGTTGAGAGATGTTGACTCAAACTATCAACACTTTCTTTCAGGTTACACCCGAAATTAAAGAAATCGAATGGAAACCGAAAATCGTCGGTAAATTTGAATGTGGAAGAAGTAAGAAACGTTCTAACGAATGTTTTCAGCACACTGATGTCAGGTTACTCGTATCATCAGTCATCTTTTTGTGTTATATTACTTTCTGTTTTTACACTGGTTATCGGCACGTCAATACAGAACATTCCTTTATTCTATCACAGTGATCTAATTTAGTTTTCTTACAGTTTACGTTAAAGATCTGATTTGCTTGTAAAATCAACTGATATAAAAGTCATTGAAGTGTTGTGGATAATTGTGCAAAATGAAATTGATATGCGTCTTGTAAAGGCACTGTTCAAATGTTATTGAATTGTGAACCTTCAACCTTAGATCAATGTTTACACTCCTTGTAGGAAAATTGAAATATCACAAGTGATTGTGAATATTAGTGTAAGCTAATTGTCAAAGTGTTTGACATTCGCAACTAGGGCTTACGGACATAGAACCACTATTATAAAATGAATTGAAATCTAAGTTTATATTTATTCAAATCAACAACTATCATACTTGATGGTGCCACAGAAATGGTTCAAAGTGAGATCGTTATGGTGTCGTTTCAGTTTTCTGTGATGAATTTCACCGATAATAGATTTCACTCTCCACATATGCTTATACTCACTTAACCAGATATCTTGTGTAAAGGAAATAAGTTGTATGAATGTATTTACCCTCAGAGTGCGGATGGCTATTTTGATGCGGCTCAATCTTATGGTTACCGATTAACGCATTCGGACGGGGACATATGAATGACGAAATTAAAGAAGTGACATTAACACTCATTTATTCTTTAACTTACAGTACACAAGTCACTATTTTAGTCCTCAGCCTCCACTCAAAAGAGTGTGTTTTGTATGAAACAGAATTAGACGAATGGTACTGGTTGGACATTGATCGATTTTGATGTACTTTAATAAGTTTTGGGCATGCTAGATAATCAGCAACTTATCTTATATGAGACATTTCCCAGTTCCTAGTTTAGATCACAAATTAAATGATGCAAATAACCTGTTATATTTATAAACGAATTCAAAACTTTATGTGTCTTTTCTTGTTCAATATATCACACAAGATACAGTACGATCTGAAATAATGACTCCTGAAACATGGATCGAAAGTGGCACGTTGGTGGAATATGAATTTATCGGAAGTATGTTAAAACTTATTTAATCAGCAATAACTATCTTCACACTTGAAAACATCATTTTTGTTTCAACAGTTTGAACATTCCATGTATAATTATATTTAACTACCAAATGATATCGAGCTATCTATCGTAAATGACGTCTCACTTACCATTAACAACAACACATCGATTCTTTTGCTGAATGATCAAAAGGATTCAAAATCCAATTTGAATCAATACTGAAGTCTTCACTTTGGTCAAAAAGTGACTTGACCAAAAAGCAACAAAACGATATATGAGATGATGTTAAGTTTGAACAAGATTAAGTGTCTGTTAGTTAATTGCGCGTTGATGAGAAAGTGTCCGTATTTTCTATTGGTACATGTGAAATGAAATCTTGCTGAGGTAGTGAATTCGCAAAAAGAAACACTTCACGTAAATGCGAATGCTTCGTAAACGATTGCCTATTTTCTGAAACCTTTGCTTTGTCATACATATACGATAAATTGAAGGTATGGATAAGTCACGTTTCCAAATTACAATTTATTATAGCCAGTCTGAGAAATATTTACAACATTATAAAAATGTTTACCTTCTCATGAACATGTACATTAAGTAACTATAAACAGATGTTAGTTCACCATGTTTAAATCCACTGAAATAATATTTTTAGTAGTGAGAGAATCATTCCATGATATCATAATCAGATCGCCGTCAATATTCTGCGAATAAGATATTCCATTCATCATCAATGAATCTTCACTGATCCAACTAGTTTCATAGAATAACTGATAGCACAAAGAACACAATGCAGTTACATACTTTGATATCATCCATCACAGTAAGTCGACTGAAATCCCTTCAAAAAAATCATCATTGATGATTATAAAAACAATGGGACTTCCTTTGTCGTTTGACTGGACTAACATAATTAAAACTCCATATTAAATCCGAAAACAATTGAATTTCTTGAACTGGGTTCATTCATAAAACTCATATCATCTAAATAAACTGTACAACAACGAAAAATTCAATGTAATGTGCACTGCTGAGTCCACTGACAGCATCGTGCGTACATGTCTGAATGTAAACAGTTATTGAAATCCATCGTTCATACTTGACATTCGACATAGTTTCATTCAATTCAAACATGATGTCGCGAAACATGATTGAAATTGATGACGCACTGAATATTGCATTATTCATCGTAGTGACAATTGTCCACTCAGTGAAATTATCACTTAACGCCGAAATCAGCATTAGATCATTGGGTTATTGTTACATGTTTTGTAATTCACTTACCTTTTGTTTGGTCACTTGAAATTAAATCATCTCATTCTTTTCACAAACTATTGTCCAAAATACACTTCACCTGAATCATGCCAAAACCCAACAACATTGAATATAACTTGCTTTTGGTGTGATAAATTAAAGCTATGCATTGATAGTACTGACAAGGATGCTCATAACATGAAAGTTAATAAATGCCGTGTTAAGGTTAGTAATTCAACATCAAGCGCTGGTGAATTTCCGGATACAGAATACGACTACTGAAGATAATGTAGAGAAGAAATCACTCCCGTACTTGTATATTGTGATTCCTTTAGTCATCATTTTCTTTGTTGTATGTGTTGGTTTTATAATTTGGAGATGGCTACATCAAAGAAAGTGAAGTAAAGGATGATTCTCACAAATATCTTATAACTTTGTTTGATTATTCTTAATTGTTTTCATGTAGTACTTCTTTAGAACACTTTCCATATCATTATTCATCTCAATAGTTTGAACAATTTCTTTGGGGAATAATGTACATTCTTATGATTGTTAACGTAACAAATTATGTAATCTTGTTGACAAAATATAGAAACTGGATTTTTACCATTTGCGTTATTGTTTCCATTGAATGCAAACTGTGCAGCCGTAAATAAATCCCCGAAATAAATAGCTCAACAACCCCTACAATCGCTAGCCAGATTAGATCAAACGATCTTCGATATATTGATAGCCTATCAAACATATCTTCGAACTTCCTCACTTCCGACTTTTGATTTCACTTGGTGGGTACGATTCATAATAGAAGGTGTTACTGGTTAAGGCGTTGTCAAACTCCAACTACTTGTGGCATCTACAACTGACTTGTTTCGTGAGAGTTTGACAACATTTTGTTTTCAAATTAGTAGTATTGTATAAACATGATTTTACGATAATTGCAATCAACAATGAGTCCGTTATGAATGTTTATTTCCAATAAAATCTCACTACTGAACAATATCATTCGGAATTAACTACAGCCATTGTTTTATACTGAGCGACCATAATAGCTTATGAATACAAATATAGGCACTTTTATTCTTCGTTACTTGATTACTTAACGTTCAGTAAAAGTTAGGCGACAAACTATTGTTAACTCGATGTTGTCAAGACTGATTATTATACCTTCCATGATATTTTTGTTGTCACGGAAGGTATATGGTCAATTGTTTCATTCAAAGCTTGGCCTATAGATAGACCTAAACTAGGGTTGTCGTAATCAGCTTCACAGAAGACTCTGACGTTTTGATCAAAGAATTGACAGCTGTGTGTGTCAGGTGCTGTGGAAGGATAAGAATTTAGCGTTGCACATTGATTTCCAGTTTTAATGGGCACATTTGCATCACAGTTGACGCTAATGATTTCTTTTTATTCGACGTCATTGTTCTGAAGTAAGTAACGTTGCTCATTAAAGAATATTTGTCTACGGATTATCATTGATAAACTCTTATCATTTTTGACAACGATCGCCACTGTTTATTATCTGTTGAAACGACCCTACTTAATATTAGGTAAAGGTTGATCTCCAGCCAGATTTCAGGAAGGATTGAAGAGCCCAGTCACTGAAATTTCAGGTGTTGCTGTCTGTCAGGATGAATTCTGTTCTTGTGGTCAGTAATGAATATCGTTTGATCATAGACTCACTTCTGTTTTCTGCTTGAGATAAGATATGTCGATCGTCCGAGTTGATGTTCATTGTGTTTATTTGGTTTCAAAGATTTTGTTGACGGTTTTGTTTTCAAACTTGATATGATGCGACTACCTCAACTTGTAGGTGAACCAACTCCGTAAATTCCTTTGTTCATTCACTAAAAATTCTCGAAAGTGATTTTGTACTTTAAATTTCCCCACCTACCGTACACTTCGCACTTATTACCTTGACCTTTGGTGTGATTTCAAGACAATAATCAATACTTTAGATGTATACCAATGCGTATCTGAAACATGGGTGGCCGGATGTTTTCAAGCGGCACTGATTGTCCATAAGTTATTATGAAATTTTGGCCTAAATTATCATGCCGTTATTCCATTTTGTTATATATACTCGCTACCAATAATCTCCATACAGGACTGCGAAAGTACTTATCAGTGTTTTTCACGTGCTGCTAATCAGTGTTTCCAATTCCATTATTTGTGATAATCACGCGCAAACCCTCATGGGTAATTCATACAAAATCACAGAGAACTGAATGTTACCAACAGATAAGCGGCAGATATCTCTGTGTACGAAATGATGCACAGTTCTTGCCAATCGTCGGTTTTCTCTAAATGCCAAATACCCTTCAACCACTGTTAATTTGCAGTGGAGTTTTTTCTTATTTTTATGCAATCAGTTATCAATATTATAATGAAATCATTTTTGCTTTTAAACTAAGTATTGAATATCAATGAAAACCACCAACTAAATTGGTCATGAGAACTAAGCGCAACTCTTTTCATGAAAATTTAATTTAGATGCATACACATTTTTATGGTTTATGGGGATTTATCACATTCAGTGAAGACAAGTTGAATTCGAATGAGCCAACTGTACGCCACAAATACTTTTCTGTTGAAGCCAGTGTCAACATTGTTATCATGTTTTCATTAAATGAAAAATAGCTTCATTTATATTAGGCCTAACTAATCTTTTTGTCAGGAGGTATTCGGTTCATCTCAATGCCTTAGGGTTATAACAATTTGCTATAGGAGATTGTCTCAGGCTTGTAGACGATTATTGGAGTTCTAATGCACGTTCTATCTTAGTTTTGCAATAATAAAATGATTCAATTTTGACCATAGTAATTCATTTCATTCCTGTTGGCGTAATGTCACTGACATTCACAGACTGACGATTAATAAAACTTAACAGTAATAAATCAGTTTTTCAGAACTAGCGAGATATAATAAATAAATACACGCATAGAGAAGATCAAAACATTGGTCGATTCACCTATTTGTTGGGCCATCTATATCTGCAGACACTAGACGACCTGTCGAAAAAACACCGTCAGAATCAAATGCATGGAGCTCATTTGCCTGTTTGCCATAACCCTGATGTGAGCAGATGAGATGCATAGACCCGGTTAACCACAAGAATTCAATCTATTCCACGGTTGAACCTACAACAATTTATAAGTAATCTGCATATTATTAAAACACTTCTCCTCACCTGATCAGTTATCAACAACAACGACTCTCAGGTTATACAACATTTACAGCTGAATTACAACGAGTGAATATGTATCCTAGCTGCACGTCAAGTCGATATGAATGTTGTAACCACTCATGTTCGAGTTTTTCGATTTAGGGAATTCCATGGTTCTTCTACCGCTATACCCCGTTTAGACCGAAGTTTGAAACGATCTCTTATCTAATCCAAACTATTCGCTAGTCGCATTTAAATTACATAACATCCATACATACGTTATTAGCTAGTTACTTCGTTTTCAAACTCATTACGTTTCAATGTAGACTCACTTCTAAACTGAATTTCGGCACAAATAATCATGGTCTTATTACACAATACACTTTCTGTAATATTCGCCAACTGATTACGCCCTTCCCTAGTTCCAAACTCAGAATATAATCTTCAGGCGTACTGTCCATGACAGAAACGATCAAACTGGAGGTTAATTTCTGATATACGTTCAGAGATAGTAGTGTGAAATAGTGTTCTTAGCAGCCCAATTGAATACGTTGATTAATAAACTAACATTTTAAACGATGTTTCACCCAATGGCTGCATATAAGTTGTCAAAGACACTTCTGCTAATGTGAGCTAACTCATTGTTTATGGATAAGAACAGGCTTCTCTTGATTTCAATTTGTGGGTCGTCATGTGATGTTTAAACTACTCTGGTGCAAAATAGAATGCTTATAAGGGTCGACCATCTGATGATGAATTTTTAACAAAACTGGAAACGCACCGCTAGTGATATCAAGTTCATACTCTTAAAAAGACATAATGGCATATTCGATCTAGCCTCCTGTGGAGTTAGCATTTCACACAACTAATTCGAAAGTAACAGCCATAGAAAGGATATTGGGTCTTATCTTATAAAACTTCTTCATAGCGTTCCTTCACATTACAAGAATCGCAAAAATACAGACCTGATAAGACACTCAGATTGCAACACCGAGTTTTAGAGCAACAGTCTCGTGAGTGCTGACGACATATTTTACCGAATCACTTGTTTGTATCCGAAATCATTTGCTCCCCTGAAGACGTATAAAACCACTACATCTGACGAATTATTTAAAACAGTTAAATATCATAATTACTAATGACACGTACATAAACGCTAATATAAAATGAATAAGCTACACAACGAATCCAAGGTTTGTTCAGACCAGATAATCTCATAGATGTTAGGCATTATTCGCCAATTAAAAGTTACTCGAAATCGCGAAATCAACTTATGCTTCTTGGTCAACAATTTGAAGCACCTGAAAATACAGATATCACCTGACTTTTGAGTAATGACTGTGATGCCATCTCAAAGCTTGTCAGTGTTATTCATGTTGGTCATTCCAGAAGCTTGACTGCATCCACTTATCCACAAATCAGTGGGATCATCACTCCTTTCAAGATCACTTGGAATTCTTTATTATCAGTAAATTCGCTCGACTTCTGAAAGATGTGCTTGTTTTTCGGTCATATTTTATGAATACAGTCTGATGTCTACCTAAAATCAGTATTTGAAAATTCTCTATTTGACGTCTAGACATTTTGATGTGACAGCCGAATTCACATGCTTTTGTAAGGAAATTTGATCGAAATCAAATATTCGAGTCGTAAACTACAAATCGTCTTATCGGTTTACACTGAATGAATAACGTTTTTTTCCTAATCAATATTGAATGTTTCATTTTCTTTATGAGATGGTTTTTATCTGCATTCGTATATCCTTAAATCCTAATTTTGCAATACTATTTCCAAACTCTAACAATTTGATGACTGAAATGAACGTCGATGGCACATAAAAATCGATTCGATGGAGAACGCTCATTTTTACTTACAATTTTTGATCCACTGGCAGTGAATCACGAAACAATGACAAGATAAATGATGAAAGAAAACCAGGAAATTCGATGGAAGACTTCAGTTCAGAAATGTTGCCATGCCAGGAAATTTAAATATTTACAAAATATTTAGTGCAATTATGGTGGGTTAACTCAATACAAAGGTTAAAATTATAGTGTTTAAAGAGTCTATTATACTGTTTTTTCATCTTTACAGGGGACAATTCATCATAATACGGAAATAATAGGCAAAGAATAAACGACCATGTCACCACATGTATCATGAACAGATACGATAAGACATTTCAAGTTCATTAGCGGAAGAACTTTATTTCGTATTAGTGTTCATAATGACATGGCACTGTTGATTAAATTCAGATGAACTACATTTTAAAGCACTTAAAACTGGACATAAGGTCAGAATTAAATTTATCACCAAGACTTATTGAATTTTTCTAAGCCAGATGATTTTATTCAGTCTATTACATAACAGTTTGTACCAGAGTACATCAAACGTTCACTAATTCACAGGTATATGAACTCCATCTTTGGATGATAGTGT